TATTGAAAAGACCGATCTCGAAAGACTGAACTGAACCTTTCCAAAGAGTGAAACGAACGGCAGAGTCACCAGCGGGCTGACCATTGGGCAATGCAGCATTGGTCAACGCATGCACGCCGGAGAAACATTTAAAAATTTTAGTTGACCCGAGTGTCCAGCTGAGATTCACGTGAAATTCGACGAACCAAGAAAAGCAACTCTTCCGTTGGCAAGGAACAGCACTCGGTCAAACATTTCGAATATATCGGATGCTGGCTGATGTATTGTACAAATGATCGTTTTACCACTAATTGATGACAAATTTTCTAAAACCTGAAAGAAGAATGGGTCGGGTATTATGAGGAATGAGGAACAAACATTTTGCTCTGCAGAACAATATAATTGGCAACGCACCGACAATCGGTACGAAGATGCGTTTTTTGCACAGTTCGCTGCAGGTTTTGTGTTTCGCTTTTTGCGCAGTTTTTGTCGCTAACGGCACTGTGTTTTTCTGGCAGATGCTACTAGCTAAAAGAATTGAGACCGGCCACTACGACTCTGAGGAAACTTTCTAACTTTTCATGTTCCCGAGTTAGCAACTTACCCTTAAAAAACTTTCACGGGCTCTTACGTGGGAATCGCGTGGGCAAGAATAACCATTTTGGGAAATTTTTTTGAGAAATTTTATTATCAGCAAATTTTCTAAAAATATTTATAAGTATAGGATTTTGAACAATATCGCGGCTTGGAGAATTAAACCTTTTGTGTGGCAAATTAAAAGTATATTTAGAAAAAAAAAGTGGTTCCAGAGTATGACGAAGTTAAAATGATAGTTTGTGTAAGAGTACCTTGACAACGTGATAGGCCATGTACGAGTCAATACCGGTGGTTGGCTCATCAGCAAATAGCAGTGATGGGTTTGTTAGAATTTCGGTAGCAAATGCAAGTCGTTTCGCTTCACCGCTCGTGATGCCTTTCCCGTGACCCGAGGATGCGATACGCGATGAGACACAGTGCTTCAGATCGAGATCCGCGAGAACCTTCAATCGAGCTTCTTGGCCTGATTGGATAAAAACAGGCTGCCCTTCGAGCAATATATTAATATGAGGAAGTAAACAGAAGAGTTTTTAACTTTTCCCAACTGCTTCTTAGTTCATATACTGAATGAATCGAATGACGAGAGCTTTCCAAAATTCGTGGTCTCCTTCTAATCTGATGAGTTCGCCACTCTCGCTGTGGTAGCCTCTGTTGCATACTGCATTAGCAAAATGTCTTCTTGCACATGACACTTACTCCAATCCCTCTATTCTACGATTTTAGTATCATAGCGAAGGTGTGTTA